TGGAGTTTTATTTATTTATTTATATGTTGCTTGCAATGATTTATCAGGATATTCAGCTGCTTTTGAACGGTGCAGTTACAACATCAACCAGCAGGAGTGAACAGATGAAACCAGACAAACCTTGAACTGAACATCCAACAAGGAAACGATATTCACATTAATAACTACAGACACAACATAATTGTTACGTAACGTGGTACTTAAAAAATTCTCAGGACGAGGAATAATTCTAGAAGGAAGACTTTAACCCTTGTATGGTGTTCGGGTCTGTTGGACCCGTTTTAATTTTTTATCAAAAGAAAATTTATACGATTAATAATTTTTTTTAAAACTCAGACTCATTGGCCTTGGCTCATTTTCTGTGAAGAACATATATCAGAACACATTTTCAATGACCACACACCGTACAACCCACCCGGGGCTAATTAAAGTGTGGAAATTGTAGGTCCTCTGTACCTTTACTCTGTCGTCCTCCTACCTCATACTCTATCCCAGCTGGAAATTGGCAGCGGAACACAATAAATGTAGCTTTGCCAGTGTGGTTCCTTGTTACAACTGATCAAGATGGCCAAAATATTTGTTGCTCAGAGGACCTTGCAATTGATTTTGAAAGAGAGAGAAGCTTTTGATGATGTAGAGGAAGAGGTTTCAGAATGTGAGGATCACATTTCTGAAAATTCAGAGTCTGACAGTGACTTTGAAAAACAGGATGAGATTGAGCATCAGCCAGTTCCAAAAGAAAGACAAGCCACAGGACCAGGCTGTCAGCAGCCAGTTCCTAAAGAGGAAGCTGACCATGGTGGGAACGATACGGAAAAAACAAGCCTGAGCTCCAAACCTTGGATATTCTTTGAATGAATGAATGAATGAATGAAATCTTTATTTCGAACAATTAATAAAAATAATAATAAAATAAATAAATAAAGACAGCAATACGTATGAAGTATCCATACAAATAATTAAACACAAAAACAATAAAAAAAATATATATATTTTTTTTTAGCATAATAATCAACCTGTTCGAAAAGGGATAGGTAGAAGCCCTAGGCTTATCAAGACCTACCCCCAGTAACTACCCAAACCAATTCACAATCAGACAAGATAAATCTAACATAACGTTTTAAATAATAAAAAATAAAAAAATACCTGCTAAATTAAAGTAATACTTTATCTTAATATTAAGATAATGAAAAAATAAAATAAAAGCATAAAAAAAAAACATGATCAAACTGCATTTCCAACCATAATGAAATATCATTCACCCTCTTCACTTCTGTACTTATCAAAAATAAAACTTTTATACCGTTTTTTGAATTGCAACATATTAACACTTTGTTTGATCGAACTGCTCAGACCATTCCACAAAAGCATCTTTGACATATTGGACATCTCAACGTACAGCGCCTTTGTCATCTGGATGGCACTGAACCCAGAGTGGAACAGGGGGAAGCCATCAACAGGTAACCATCATCACCTGATCTCATTTCACTTTAGCTTTCTTTGCTACTATAAATGTGTTTGATAAACACACTGTCATAGCAGCCAAAAAAGACAAAAGATATAATACGAGTTAAGATCCCAACTAATTGGAACACTGATCACTGTTATGGTGACTTCAAATGAAACACAGAGTCAAACTCCTGTTAATTCTCATTAAAAACTTTGACGTCTGACTGAAATAAAGTCAGTCTGGTTAGTAATAAGTGAAGCTGGTAATGCTGTTTGTGGAGTTGTTTAATCCTCCTCTGCTGAGATCTTCCGATTTAATGTCTTCTTTTCTCTTCAGTGGATTTCATCTAAGGCTGTGTCTGAAGTCAGTTGTAGTTCTTGTGTTTTGGCTCATCTCTTTTTCTGTTCTCTTCTTTCCTTCAGTGATTCTGCTTGTTAACAGGCTTATTAAGGCTGAGATGACTCCATATTTAATATACACAGATTTTGTGGCTCTGATTAGGTCCAGTTCTGGTTTATTTCTTTACTCTTGGCTGACATGTGGTATTGCTATGGCCTGCTTGTGTCTCAGATCTGGCAAACAGGATCGGTCCGCTCAAGTGCATTCATTCCACGCTGCATGTGGGCCAGATCTGGGCAGAAACAATGTTGCTATCTGGGTGTGTGATGATGTTGCAGTCTGACACCCATGCCTTGCGAGAGAGATGTTGGTAAAATTCCTTATCAAGTCAACACCTAAATCTTGTTGTTGTGCTCCTCAAACTATTCCTGAAACATTCCTGCTTTGTGGCAGGGTGCATTATCCCGCTGAAAAAGGCCACAGCTACCAGGGAATACCGTTTCCATGAAAGGCTGTACATGGTCTGCAGCAATGCTTAGGTAGTCCGTGTCAAAGTAACATCCACATGGATGACAGGACCCAATGTTTCCCAGCAGAACATTACCCAAAGCATCACACTGCCTCTGCCGGCTGGTCTTCTTCCCATAGTGCATCCTGGTGCCATGTGTTCCCCCGGTAAGCGGCGCACAAGCACCCTGCCATCCACGTTATGTAAAAGAAACGTGGTTCATCAGACCAGACCACCTTCTTATTCTATTGCTCCATGGTCCAGTTCTGATGCTCACGTGCCCACTGTTGGCGCTTTCGGCGGACAGGGGTCAGCATGGGCACCCTGACTGGTCTGCGGCTATGCAGCCCCATACACAACAAACTGCAATGCACTGTGTATTCTGACACCTTTCTATCAGAACCAGCATCAACTTCTTGAGCAACTTCAGCTACAGTAGATCGTCTGTTGGATCTGACCACACAGGCCAGCCTTCGCTCCCCACGTGCTTCAATGAGCCTTGGCCACCCATGACTGTCACAGTGTCTGGTTGTGTTTCCCTGGGTTATCACTAGAGGTCCTCGTTCGCACGGTGTCATTCACATTAGACTACAATTCCCAGCATTCTGTTCTGCCACTTATCTGATTATTGCACTCAGCTGTTTCCCATCACCTTGTTAGTTCTGTGTGTATATATTCCCTGTCTGTGTTAGTGCACACTTCTGTTCCTGTTTGCTGCCAGTTCTTGTTCATGTTTTATGTTCTTGGATTCACTTATCGGATTTTGACCATTTGCCTGGACTGTTGTGAGTACGGATTACCCTTTAATAAATAACTCCTATTGGATCTCTCTCTTCTGTGTGTGATTCGTGACAATGACCCTGTCGCTGGTTCACCACTGTTCCTTCCTGGGACCACTTTTGATAGTGACCACTGCAGACCGGGAACACCCCACAAGAGCTGCAGTTTTGGAGATGTTCTGACCCAGTCATAGCCATCACAATTTGGCCCTTGTCAAACTCGCTCAAATCTTTACGCTTGCCCATTTTTCCTGATCCTAACACAGTGGGTGCTTCTCAATTCTCATTTGTCCATCCTCGTTTCCTTTTTCCTCGCGTCTCAGCTCCACCCCTGTAGGATGCGAGGGAAGGCTGCAAGGAAAGAAAATAAGAACGGAGGAATCGAATGAAAGCTTTAAACTATAAATAATACAGAAATAGCTTGAACATTAAGATCACTGTTTCTCCATCGCATGAGCTCTTGGAGAAGAGTTGCATTGTGGGAAATGTAGTTTGTGTGTTTAGCTGAAGCCTCAAAGCTCTTCCTGTGGCTGTAGTTTCACTTCCTGTTTGGCAAGTGTGAGCCGAAGACTTCTCATGTTTAACTGAAGCTAAAGGCCTCCTAATAGTCACAACGACACAAACAGGTAACGTAAACAAGATGTTTTATTAAAGACACTCAGGAACAGATACGGCAGGTGAGTAGCTGGTTTGATGGCAGATATGAAAGTAGAAGTAGTGATGGTTTTGACTGAGTCTCTTATCTGATGCAGGGTGATGATGTCGAGCTGGATGGAAGACGGGCTGAAGACAGAAGGACCGGAGATGCAGACGGGTGATTCACAGAAGACGGGTATCACAGCAGGTAAGCGGGTTGAGGGAATCCTAGATGGAGAGTCAGGTATTTGAAGGATTTGACGAGACCAGACAGTGAGCAGAGTAAACTGTGGGGTTTTTAAGGTGCTGGTGGTGAATGTGTGGATTGCAGGCAGTGATGATGACAGGAGCAGGTGATCAGTATTCAGGGGATGTGGAACGAGTGGGCAGAGTGAGGAGGTCTGGTGCTGACGAGGCTGTTTCCGTGACAGTACCAAACCCCCCAACATCCAACAAGGAAACGATATTCACATTAATAACTACAGACACAACATAATTGTTACGTAACATGGTACTTAAAAAATTCTCACGACGAGGAATAATTCTAGAAGGAAGACTTTAATAAAACACTCAGGAACCAGGAACAAAAGCAAGAGAAAACCACATTACAACAACCGTTAACGAGAAGCGACAGAGACTGAGAGAGAACACAGGGTTTAAATACACATGGACTTAATCAAAGAAACAAGACACAGCTGACATGACTATCGAGATCATGACTAACACAGCTGAACTGAAACTCATTATCAAGGTGTCCATGGCAACTAAGGAGTGGCGGGAAAAGAACAAAGCAAAACAGGAACCGTGGTATTGTCATTTCCATACAGGCATCGGTACAGTGTGTGATACAATAATGCTTTGAGAAACTTCCCATCACTAATAATAACAATAAAAACACAAAACACCAAATACTGGATTCAAGAAGATGAATCTGATCTTTCTGAACTCTATAATGAACAGACAAGACAAGCTTGATTATGACGCATATTCAGTAAACCGATGAAAATGATGAGGATGAAGACGATTTAGTATATTATATTATATTGTAACTATTATATTTTAAAACTGTGATAGACTGATGCGATGAGGAGAAGTGAAATAATAGTAATAAACCACACAATTGAGGAGTTTTCGGACAAAAAGTCAATTGCGACAGGTATTGAATCTGGCCGCGACCCCCGATCGCTTGCGGTTTAAAATCTTCAAGTGTGTGTCCAGCCTGAGGTTTGGTGTAATGAACTCATCTGTGTTTATGAAGGAGTGCTCGAGTCTCATATGACGTTATAGTTTATGAAACACAGCTGTAAAATACAGTTGTTTCTGTGTCTCTGTCCTCTGGATTACAGAAGCGTCCAGTGTCTTTGATCTATAATCACAGAAACAAGAGTTATTAAGTTAATAGAGAAAAAACTCAATCAAAGATAGTCTATAGTTTTTACACATGAATATGATAATTCACACACAAGCTGATAGAGATTCAATGCCTGAAGATCATAAACACACAGTCCTGTTTCAGGATCATCACAGTGTTGAGCAAGACATTAAATCTGATTGTGTTTCAATGGATCTGCGAACACAATTACTACTGTAAACCTTGAGTTCAATAAATAACCATAATCATCAGTTTCTGCTGACTCACCTGATCATAAATCACTGGATTAAACACAACAGTGGCGGACGACAGCAGACCTGAGCAATAGATCAACATTAGTCTTTCTTACATACTCACTTCTTCAGTTATCTTATAGTTCATAATTATAAAACCTTTAACTCAGTTCTCACGCATTTCATCACAAACCCAACCAAGTATTTAGTGTGAAATATTACCTTTATTCTTCTTTCTCATCTGCACAGCCACTATAATCAGTGGAACTGCTATCAGGAGTAAAACTAAAGCCTCCGCAGTGATAATGATAATCACAAATGAACCTGGAAAACACAAGAGCCAGAAGAATCAGAATATCAGAGATAAAAAGATACAAATTGGTGACTTAATCAAAGACTAAAGCATGAAATTAGACGTATATGAGGCTTATTGAAAGTCATGTTGCCATGACAACGTCTGTCAGACCTTTGACCTCCTGTTGCGGTGAGGAGAGAGACGGACGCTGAGATGCGGAGAGATGTTCACCTGTGTCCGGTGAGGAAATAACCAGAGATAAAGCATATTAAAGGCTGAAGAGATGTTGAGAAGAAAGAGATGAAGAGATGAAGTGATGAAGTGATGAAGTGATGAAGAGATGAAGTGATGAAGTGATGAAGAGATGAAGTGATGAAGTGATGAAGAGATGAAGAGATGAAGTGATGAAGAGATGAAGAGATGAAGTGATGAAGAGATGAAGTGATGAAGAGATGAAGTGATGAAGAGATGAAGAGATGAAGTGATGAAGAGATGAAGTGATGAAGAGATGAAGTGATGAAGTGATGAAGAGATGAAGTGATGAAGAGATGAAGAGATGAAGTGATGAAGAGATGAAGTGATGAAGAGATGAAGAGATGAAGTGATGAAGAGATGAAGAGATGAAGAGATGAAGAGATGAAGAGATGAAGTGATGAAGTGATGAAGAGATGAAGAGATGAAGAGATGAAGAGATGAAGTGATGAAGAGATGAAGTGATGAAGAGATGAAGAGATGAAGAGATGAAGTGATGAAGAGATGAAGTGACGAAGTGACGAAGAGACGAAGAGACGAAGTGACGAAGAGACGAAGAGACGAAGAGACGAAGAGACGAAGTGACGAGGAGACGAGGAGACGAGGAGACGAGGAGACGAAGAGACGAAGAGACGAAGAGACGAAGAGACGAAGTGACGAAGAGACGAAGAGACGAAGTGACGAAGAGACGAAGAGACGAAGAGACGAAGAGACGAAGTGACGAAGAGACGAAGAGACGAAGAGACGAAGAGACGAAGAGACGAAGTGACGAAGAGACGAAGAGACGAAGTGACGAAGAGACGAAGAGACGAAGAGACGAAGAGACGAAGTGACGAAGAGACGAAGAGACGAAGAGACGAAGTGACGAAGAGACGAAGAGACGAAGAGACGAAGAGACGAAGAGACGAAGAGACGAAGAGACGAAGTGACGAAGAGACGAAGAGACGAAGAGACGAAGAGACGAAGAGACGAAGAGACGAAGTGACGAAGAGACGAAGAGACGAAGAGACGAAGTGACGAAGAGACGAAGAGACGAAGAGACGAAGAGACGAAGAGACGAAGTGACGAAGAGACGAAGAGACGAAGAGACGAAGTGACGAAGAGACGAAGAGACGAAGAGACGAAGAGACGAAGAGACGAAGAGACGAAGAGACGAAGAGACGAAGTGACGAAGAGACGAAGAGACGAAGAGACGAAGAGACGAAGAGACGAAGTGACGAAGAGACGAAGAGACGAAGTGACGAAGAGACGAAGTGACGAAGAGACGAAGAGACGAAGAGACGAAGAGACGAAGTGACGAAGAGACGAAGAGACGAAGAGACGAAGAGACGAATAGACGAAGTGACGAAGAGACGAAGTGACGAAGAGACGAAGTGACGAAGAGACGAAGTGACGAAGAGACGAAGTGATGAAGAGATGAAGTGATGAAGAGATGAAGTGATGAAGAGATGAAGTGATGAAGAGATGAAGAGATGAAGAGATGAAGTGATGAAGAGACGAAGAGACGAAGTGACGAAGAGACGAAGAGACGAAGTGACGAAGAGACGAAGTGACGAAGAGACGAAGTGACGAAGAGACGAAGTGACGAAGAGACGAAGAGACGAAGAGACGAAGAGACGAAGTGACGAAGAGACGAAGAGACGAAGAGACGAAGAGACGAATAGACGAAGTGACGAAGAGACGAAGTGACGAAGAGACGAAGTGATGAAGAGATGAAGTGATGAAGAGATGAAGTGATGAAGAGATGAAGTGATGAAGAGATGAAGTGATGAAGAGATGAAGTGATGAAGAGATGAAGAGATGAAGAGATGAAGTGATGAAGTGATGAAGAGATGAAGAGATGATGAAGAGATGAAGTGATGAAGAGATGAAGTGATGAAGAGATGAAGTGATGAAGAGATGAAGTGATGAAGAGATGAAGTGATGAAGAGATGAAGAGATGAAGAGATGAAGTGATGAAGTGATGAAGAGATGAAGAGATGAAGAGATGAAGTGATGAAGAGATGAAGTGATGAAGAGATGAAGTGATGAAGAGATGAAGAGATGAAGAGATGAAGTGATGAAGAGATGAAGTGATGAAGAGATGAAGGCTCAATCCCATTTCACCCCTTGTTTTCGAGTGTACCCCTTGGCCCTGAAATATTCCCCTACGCAATGGAACAACCCTTCATGAACCCGATACGTCATCAGTTGTCGATGATGGCTCTGACGTTACGGAAGCAACGAGTTTTCACAGGATTTCTCCATGACAACGACTGACAATGAGCGCCGCTGCTCTTACCTCTGAGCAAACATGATGCTTATAACGTTCCTTCCTCGAAATGTATGTCTTTTCTGTTTTGGAAAGGTAATTTATTATACAATTTCTTAATTTAAATGACTATATTATTATTATAAGAGTAAATAAAGTGCATGGTGGTGTCATCTTTTAATGTTTAACCGTTAGCGAAGCCAACTCGCCGGTGATTCGCGATGCATTCTGTGAACTATCTCGTAGCCCTCCATTCGGAGTGTGCCTCTGAAAAATCTCCGTTTCGAGGGCTATGTAGCCCTACCCCTCTATAGCAACAAGAATCGGGACACCCTACTATACGTGAACGCCCAAAACAGAGGGGTAGGGGCAAGGGTTAATTGGGATTGAGCCTAAGAGACCTGTTGAGGAGATCTGATGATCTGTGACGCCGCTGGATGGATTCAGTTCTGACTCTCTTAAGACTGAAGATGAGCCGATTGTTGAAGTGGTCTTTATACCTGAAGGTGGAAAAAAAAAAAGATAGACCTGAATTTGGTTATTACATTTACACATTAGCACACTTATCTGAAACTGCATTTAATGAATTACGCAGTACATCAACATTTATGTAATATAATATAATATAATATATTAACCAGCAACACGATCTCTGAATAGACATCAATATCATAAATCTCTCCTTTGTACTTTCGCCAGTTAAATAAAGTTGAAACAGAATTAACAAATCTCAGATCCCAGATTGTATTGCATTTTACAAAATTATCCAACTTTTCTGGATTTGGGGTTTGTACAAGATTAATGACTTGATCTCTCACTCTCAGCTCGTTTCCATGCAGTTAATTTCTGCTATTAACATATTTAATCACTTACCCAACATAACCAGCAACAGAATCTCTGAATAGACATCAGTAATACTCCTCTTCACAGCACACCAGTATTGGCCTTCATCCTCTGTTCTCAGATCAGTGATGGTGACGGTGAAAACTCTGGCCGTCGTGTCGTCAGTCAGAGAGAATCTCTCGTCTTTAGCTGGAGATCCTGATTTAACCATGATGATTCTATTTCCATAGATACACTCCCCTTTACAAAAATACTTTGAATTTGATTCATATCCATAATCATATGAGCATCTGATGTCAACTCTCTCTCCTATGTATCCAGTAATTGTCTGTGAAGCTCCACCAACAACAGCTGAAAACACAAATATCATTATATAGAGCTGTTATGTGTGAGAAAGAGACATAAGCAGGCCAGAATAATAACTTACAAATATCCTCCATATGAGTCTGATGATCATGCGATAAAGAGGAAAACAAGAGAAGAAGTCAAACTCTGTGTAAAAGAGCTGAGAGTCTGAAACTCACCTGTACAGATCCTGGAAAAGAGCAGCAGGACGTCCAACATCATGACATTTGACAAGCGTTTCGCTGAAATAAAAGAACAAATTCTGTGTGACAAACGTTACTGTCGTTCTCTTCCGTACTGAGAGAATAATGTGTGTCAGCAACTGAAATACATATTTCCTTCCCCTTCTGTATCTATAACCACATCTACCTCTACAGGATCTTAAAAGAGCTCATATGTGATGTTTCAGTTACACACTTGATAAAACTGCATGCACTGAATATAATTTGTTTAGACTCTTTTAGTCGAATACGGTCTCTTTCTTGGCATTGGAGAGTCTTTAGGCCGAGACTAGAAAAAGTGGTGAATCTAAAGTTTTTATTTTTTATTCAAGTCTAAAATTGTATTCAAAACGTCCCGGGTTACGTATGTAACCCTAGTTCCCCGAAGGGACGGACGCTGCGTGTAATCGCAGTGGGAACGCCCTCAGCGTGACGCGTCTGAAGCATGAATGAAATCAGTCAATGGAGAGAATGAGCGTACGGCGAGTGACGTCATCGACCAGGAAGCTATAAATATCCCCTGAGTACACAATACGCCAGCTTAAAAGTTACTGAAGCAGCGACCCAAGGGGATGCCGAGAGTATGGCAGGACACGCAGCGTCCGTCCCTTCGGGGAACTAGGGTTACATACGTAACCCGGGACGTTCCCCTTCAGGGACTACCGCTGCGTGTAATCGCAGTGGGAACGCAATACCCACATCCCCATACGACCAAATCCCCGTCGTGTGTCATTAGGAGACACAAGCCGACGAGAGAACCTGAGCCCCGGGAGTGGAGCTAAGATCGAGGGAATAAAATCTAATGAAAGTGTGCGGTGAGGACCAGCCTGCCGCATCACAAACGTCCTGAAGAGAAGCTCCTGAAAGAAGAGCTGTAGAAGCAGCCATACTCCGGGTGGAACGAGCCCTTACAGCCAAAGGTGAAGGCTGATGGGCCGACCCATAAGCAAGTGGGATGGCCTCGACCACCCACTTGCTCATCCTTTGCCTAGATGCAGGACACCCTTTCTTAGGTGACCCAAACAGACGAACAGTTGTTCCGATCTCCTCCACAGGGCAGCTCTGTGGACGTAAGCATCTAAAACCCAAACTGGGCACAGCAAATTAATTTTCTCCTGGTCTGACGTCAGAAAAGGCGGAGGACAGAAAACCTGCAGAACTATAGGTCTAACAGAAACAGTTGGAACCTTAGGAACATAACCTGGTCTCGGAAAGAGAAAGGCCTTAACCAACCAGGAGCAAATTCCAGGCACGAGGGAGACACCGAAAGTGCTTGAATATCTCCAATTCTTTTTAGAGATGAGATAGCGAGAAAAAGGATAGTCTTAGAGTAAGAAACTTTTCCGAAACTTCCTCGATGGGCTCGAAAGGAGCAAGGGAGAGACCTTCTAAGATGATGGCCAGATCCCAAGCTGGTACCCTCGTGCGAACTGCAGGCCTCAGCCTCAAGGTGCCACGAAGGAAGCGAGACATAAGTGGGTGTTTCCCGAGGGAACCTCCACTTGAAGGGGCGTGGTAAGCAGCTAAGGCCGCCACATACACCTTCAGTGTGGAGTGGGATAACCCTGTGGAGAGACGGTCCTGCAGGAAATCCAGCACTGTACCAACCGGGCAGTTAACTGGGTCCTGCTGGCGCTCTCCACACCAAGAGGTGAAAAGTTTCCACCTCGCGCATATAACTTCCTCGTGGAGGGAGCTCTGGATCGGAGGATGGTCTCAACGACCTCAGCCGAGAGACCAGAATCTATGAGCTGGGCCCCCTCAGAGGCCAAGCCCACAGCCTCCATAGCTCTAGACGGGGGTGAAGGATCGACCCACTCGCCTGAGAGAGCAGATCTCTCCTGATCGGTATCTCTAGGGGAGAGCCGTCGAGGAGAGACACTAGGTCCGCAAACCATACCCGGGCCGACCAGAACGGGGCTATTAGCAGGAGACTGAGCCCGTCCCGGCGAACCCTCTCCAGAACTCCTGGGAGCAGAGCGATCGGGGAAAAAGCGTACAAGCGTGACCTCGGCCACGGATGTACCATCGCATCCAACCCCAGCGAGGCTGGATGGCTGCGAGAGAACCACAGCGGGCAGTGTGATGTTTCTCGAGAAGCAAATAGGTCTACCTCGGCAAGACCGAAATGTTTCCATAGGAGTTCCACCACCTCGGGGTGAAGACTCCATTCCCCGGGCCTCGGCCCCTGTCTTGACAGGATGTCTGCCCCCTGATTAAAATACCCCGGGAGATAAATAGCTCTCAGAGAAAGAATTTTCCCCTGGGACCATAGAAGGATCTGACGTGCCAGTTTGTAAAGCGGGCGAGAACGCAAACCCCCCTGATAGTTGATATAAGAAACCACCGATGTGTTGTCTGTCCGGACAAGAACATGGTGGCCCCTTAGGTCTGGGAGGAAGTGTTTCAGAGCCTGAAACACCGCCAACATCTCTAGGCAGTTTATGTGCCACAGACGATGATGGTCCTCCCACAGACCCTGAGCCGGGCGACCATCCATGATCGCCCCCCCAACCCGTGAGAGAAGCATCTGTCGTTAGCATAACGCGATGACAAGGAGCTCCTAACACAGGGCCTTGGGACAGAAACCAAGGATCTTTCCACATGATCAGGGCGTGATGACACCGTCGCGAACTCACGATCATGCGAAGCGGATTTCCCCTCGGGGAGAATCCCTTGGTCCTGAGCCACCACTGTAACAGTCTCATGTGCAAGAGGCCAAGAGGTATCACGTTGGACGCAGCTGCCATGAAACCTAACAGTCTCTGGAACTGTTTTACAGTGGATGACTGGCCTAGCTTGACCTGATCTACTGCAGCGAGAATCAAAGCAATACGAGCAGGTGACAATAGTGCCTGCATCGTCGTTGAATCCCACACTACACCTAGAAAAGTGGTTCTCTGTAATGGAGAAAGAACACTCTTTTTGGCGTTGAGCCTCAGCCCCAGTCACTTGATATGAGCAAGAACGACATCTCGGTGCCGAACCGCCTGTTGTTCCGATTGAGCTAGAATCAAGCAATCGTCTAAATAGTACAGAAAGCGGATGCCCTGTAACCTCAGCGGGGCTATAGCAGCATCCATACACTTCGTGAATGTTCGGGGTGACAGTGCTAGGCCGAACGGAAGAACCCGATATTGGTACGCTTCGCCCCCGAAAGCGAACCTCAGGAACTTCCTGTGTTGAGGGAGGATGGATACATGGAAGTAAACGTCCTTTAGATCTATCATGACAAACCAGTCCTCGGATCTGATTTGAACATCCCCTGTGACAGACACAGCGCCCTGTAACGTACTGGCAGGGAACAGCTGGCCTGGGCACTCCACAACCCTCCTCGGAGGGGGCGAGCGTCCCTCGGGAAATCGCTCGCAGAGTCTCTCTACGCCCTGTATAGGCAGGGTTAGTAGAACAGACCCCTGAGGGCATCGAGAAAGACAGGGCACCGTGTTTTTGTGCGGTGAACTCAGGTCTTTCACGATAGGGACCACCCTCAGAGTCCTGACGTTTAGCACGTCAGGATTTTTCTTTTTCCCGATGAAGTAGTATCCTAACTCCCTGCTGGGTGGGGGACCCATTCCGCCAGGAGCTCTACTAAGGGAACCAGCCTCTCGAGGCTGGCCTCTGGATGAACATCCCGAGTGACAGACACAGCGCCCTGTAACATACTGGCAGGAAACAGCTGGTCTGAACACTCCACAACCCTCCTTGGAGGGGGCGAGCGTCCCTCGGGAAATCGCTCGCCGAGTCTCTCTACGCCCTGTATAGGCAGGGTTAGTAGAACAGACCCCTGAGGGCATCGAGAAAGACAGGGCACCGTGTTTTTGTGCGGTGAACTCAAGTTTTCCCCGATGGGGACCACCCTCAGAGTCCTGACGTTCAGCCCGTCAGGACTTTTTCGACGCGGCCTTTCTGGCGACAATGACTGTCCTCAGATCAGTCCTGCCCCGAGAAGGCCGCGCCGGAGAGCGCCCGCCTCGTCCCTCCAGTTTCTCTGCAGGAGGGCACGAGACTTGACACTCCGCTTCTGCTGTGCTCTTTTGGAAGACGAACTCGACGAAAAACTTTGCTCTGGTTGAACATTCTGCGTGACAGACACAGTGCCCTGTAACGGCGCACCAGCAGGGAACGACTGGTCTGGACACACTAGAACCCTCCTTAGAGGCGGCGAGCGTCCCTCGGGAAAGCACTCGCCAGACCCTTCTACGCCCTGTTTCGGCAGGGTTAGTAGGACGGGCCCCTGAGGGCGCCGGGAGAGACAGGGCACCCTTAGGGGAGGTGAACGCAAGTCTCTCTCGGCGGGGAACCCCCTCAGATTTTCCTTTGATCGGCCTGAAAAGCCTGCATAAAAGTCTTTTTATTTTTATTTTTATTTTTTCGTATGCAAACATGCAGCCGCCTGCCCAGCCACCGAGTAAGCCTTCCCCACCAGCACAGAGGTATATATATTTATTTATTTATTTATTTTTGGTGGAAGAGCCGGTGCTTTAAGTGAAGACGATGAAGCAGGAGAGAGATAGCTCGCGAGCGTCTCCTCCGCCTACAGTATCGTCACATAACCAGCAGATTTAGCACCAACAATGTTACCATAAGCATTGGACTGATTTGTGTAAATTCTGCTTGAAACCGGTCTAACCCAGGCCTTTGACACCTCAGTATGAAGATCTGGGAAGAACGGTAAGCACCGGCGAGAAGGTTGAAGTCGTGCAGACAGAAATCTATCATCTAGATTGCTTTTAATTCTAGAAACCTGTCTATCAGCTGGCCACTCGATACTGTTTTTTTTTTTTTTTCAGCTTTTCAACAGCCCGAGATAACACATCCATCAAACCTTCTTCTTTTTCATTTGCAGTATAATGTGATAAACTAGTTTTCTCTGATGCAAAACTTTCGACATCCAGCTCCTCAGAACTGGAAAATCTCAATTCAACATCATCATGTGCCTCCACCCGGGCAGAAGTAACCGCCGCAGCGCGTGCTTCCAGAGCCGGGTGAGAGGCACTAGATCTCGGCGGAGATAGCTGAGATAGGCCGGAGCCCGTCTCAACGTCGCCAGTGAGATCCATCTGCGAGCCCCAAGACAAGCGCC